ACACACACTCCACACACACTACACACACTCTACACCCACACACTCCACATACACACTCTACACACACACTACACACACTCTACACACACTCTACACACACACTACACCCACACACTCAACATAGACACTCTACACACACACTACACACACTCTACACACACTCTACACACACACTATACACAGGCTCTCTACACTTACACACACAGACTACACCCACACACTCTACACACACACTACACACTACACCCACACACTCTACACACACTCTGTACACACACTCCACACACTACACAATACACCCACACACTCTATACACACTCTGTGCACAGGCACTCTACACTTACACACACTACACCCACACTAAACCCACACACTCTACACTTACACACTCTCTATACGCACTACACAAACACACACCACACACACTACACACACTCTACACACACTCTACACACACTCTACACCCACACACTCAACACACACACTACACACACTCTACACCCATACACTCCACACACAACAACAACCGCCATTCGCCACGAAGTGGCGGTGACGTCACCACGGCGCTTGTGCCAGGCTAGGTGCACGTTGAGGCCACGGATCGACTGACTGAGATGACTGAGACGACTGGCTGATGCACCACCTGTGCCCCCTACTGTGCCAACTTGCTGTGCTTTAGCCACCCGGCGCTCCGCTCGTTGTTGTGAGCGTCACACACAAACTCTACACACACACTATCTACACCCACATACTCCACACACATTCCACACACACTCCACACACACTCCACACACACTCCACACACACTCCACACACACTCCACACACACTCCACACACACTCCACACACACTCCACACACACTCCACACACACTCCACACACACTACACCCACACACTCTACACCCACACACTCTACACCCACACACTCTACACCCACACACTCTACACCCACACACTCTACACCCACACACCCACACACCCACACACCCACACACCCACACACCCACACACCCACACACCCACACACCCACACACCCACACACCCACACACCCACACACCCACACACCCACACACCCACACACCCACCCTCACACCCTCACACCCTCACACCCTCACACCCTCACACCCTCACACCCTCACACCCTCACACCCTCACACCCTCACACCCACCCACCCACCCACCCTCACACACACCCACCCTCACACACACCCACCCTCACACACACCCACCCTCACACACACCCACCCTCACACACACCCACCCTCACACACACCCACCCTCACACACACACACCCTCACACACACACACCCTCACACACACACACCCACAAAACAAAGACAAAGATCCCCCGTATAGCCTTAACAGACTGTAGGAGCAAGTGCTGTTAGCGAGCACCTATGAAGGCCGGAACGGTACACGAGGGGGTGGGTGGCCAGCACCACGCCCGACCGCCTTTGTCTCCCTAGTGGCAATGTTTACACACCGCACCAGGTACTTATTTGAGGCTGAGTCGACCTAGGGGAGGCCCGGGACCGGTTCAGATAATCGTCACTGGTGTTGGCCGTGAGCGGGAATCGAACCCGAGTCGCCAGGTTCATAGCGCAGCGCGCTAACCGCTACACTACCGCTCCGCACACACAGTGACACACACACAGTGACACGCACACAGCTACACACAAACACACACCCTCACACCCACACACCCACCCACAGTGTAGTCGTTAACGGGAAACTATTTATGCCGCCTTTGTCTCCCAATGGCAATGTCTACACACCGGACCGAGTCGTCATTTGAGGCTGAGTCGACCTAGGGGAGACCCAGGACCGGTTAAATTATAGGTCGTGAACGAGAATCGAAATGTGGTCGGCCGGTTGGTAGCGCAGCGCAGTAACCTACCGCTAACCTACCGCTAGACTACCGCTAACCTACCGTTAACCTACCACTAGACTACCGCTAACCTATCGCTAACCTACCGCTAGACTACCACTAGACTACCGCTAACCAACCGCTAGACAACCGCTAGACTACCGCTAACTTACCGCTAACCTACCGCTAGACTACCGCTAACCTACCACTAGACTACCGCTAGACTACCACTAGATTACCGCTAGACTACTGCTAGACTACCGCTAATTTACTGATAACCTACCGCTAACCTACCGCTAACTTACCGCTAACCTACCGCTAGACTACCGCTCACCTACCGCTAGGCTACCACAAGACTACAGCTAACCTACCGCTAGACTACCGCTAACCTACCACTAGACTACCACTAGACTACCGCTAGACTACCGCTAACCTACCGCTAGACTACCGCTAATCTACCACTAAACTACCGTTAACCTACCACTAGACTACCGCTAGACTACCGCTAGATTACCGCTAACCTACCGCTAACCTACCGCTAGACTACCGCTAGACTCCCGCTAACCTACCGCTAGACTACCGCTAGACTACTGCTAACCTACCGCTAGGCTACCGCTAACCTACCGCTAGACTCCCTCTAACCTACCGCTAAACTACCGCTCCCCCCGCACCTACAGACAAAGTGCTGTAAGCGAGCGCCTACGAAGGGGGTGGCCAGAACCAAACTCGGCCACCTTTGTCTCCCTAGGTACTCATTTGAGGCTGAGTGGACCTAGTGGAGGCTCAGGACCGGTTCAAATAATCGTCACTGGTGTTGGCCATGAGCGGGAATTGAACCCGGGTCGCCCGGGTTTCACACATACACACGTGGTGACGATGCAACACACACACGTGGTGACGATGCAACACACACACACGTGGTGACTTAGCACACACACACGTGGTGACGTGCAACACACACACACGTGGTGACGATGCACACACACGCGTGGTGACGATGCAACACACACACACGTGGTGACGGTGCACACACACACACACGTGGTGACGATGCACACACACACACGTGGTGACAATGCAACACACACACACGTGGTGACGGTGCAACACACACACGTGGTGACGATGCAACACACACGCGTGGTGACGATGCATCACACACACGCGTCGTGACGATGCAACACACACACGTGGTGACGGTGCACACACACACGTGGTGATGATGCAACACACGCGTGGTGACGATGCACACACACACGTGATGACGATGCACACACACACACGTGGTGACTTAGCACACACACACGCACACGTGGTGACGATGCACACACACACGCACACACCGCAGCAGATGAAGCCACAATTAGAGGTCGTTGGGATTGTGAGCCAGGCCACGGGGTCAGGGGGCAAGGGGCACTGGGCAGAGGCCACAGGCTGCGTGTGGGGGTGTAGGTGTTGGGGTCTTCTTGGGGCTCACGGGACAGGGGGGCAGAGTGGGTTAGGAGGCTGGAGGGGGTTGTAGGGGTGCGGGCGTGTGTGTGTGTGGGGGTAGATTAATTAATTAGTTCAGAATCTGTCGATTGGAGAAGGACCTCACTCCATGCTTGTACGTACGTACGGTCTACAGAGCTGTCAACCCCTTATCAGTGATGCCTATCTCATTACAGACCAATTCAGACCTTTATTGGTCACCCCGTGCCCTTTATAAACCTCAACGTCCATCCTACAAACTATCCATCGCAAGGGAGAAACACAAAATGATGTTACTGAACACAAACTCTTTTACGTATTATTTTTGATAATTGGTGTCAATGATGCTACTTATCATGTGATCTTGCATGCTGCTGCTTGCTTGATATGTGGATGCACACACTCACAAACCTGTCAACCCCTTATCAGTGTGCTGCCCTATCTTATAACAGACCAATTCAGACCTTTATTGGTCATCCCGTGCCCCTTTATAAATCTCAACGTCCATCCTACAAAGTGCCCATCGCAAGTCGAGACACACAAAGTCGTGTGCGTGTGTGCCCGTATTGAAACGTCTGTACGCCTCGTGGGCCATGGTAACTGCATTGCCCTGGACAGGGATGACGGGGCGAGGGGGCCCTGTGGGGTTGGCACGGAACGTGGGCTGCACGTCGGACTTCTTTCGCACCGTACGTAGCCAACCGTGCTAATGTTGCGCTCGCGCTTACGAAGTCGCTTTGACGTTCGCCGAGGTGACTTTGTGAGTGCCCTTAAGTTGAGTTTCGTGTCAAGATCGTAACGAGCCCCGTGAGTAAATCGACGAACGTGTCAATGGGCATACTTCACCGCGGGGTGAGGTGCGCTAACTACAGCGCCACCGCTCCCACCCCCCCCCCTCTCTCGCGCCTTTAAAACGATCACTGTAATAAAATATAATTAGTGATAAGATAATGATCATAAATGCGATATATGTAGTTAATTTTAGTAGCGTATTGATCACGCGGTGTAAATGTTTCATGGCGTTACGGCGATTGGCATAACACTTAAACCTGTAACAATAATCGCAACGTTGTGGTTATAATTGCAAGTTTGTCGCTTCAGTGACAAACATCTCGGTCCTGTAATAATATTCATTAAAGTTTTGTTAAGAGCAGGGTTCGTTTTAAAATATAAAAAAACAGACTTCCTCATAACGCGAATGTGATTATTACAAGTGTAGGTTATTAATTGATTGCTTTAAGAGTAATTACCAGTTTTGACAATAACATTATTACGGCTGTAGCTGTAATTAATGAACTCTGTTAGTGATATTGACGTTGACGTGTCCATGGCAACGGAGGTAACGAACGCGGTGCACGTGACCACACCCGCGCACCAACCCCCCCCACAAGCCCCCTCCCCCTTTTACGCACTACTTCGCTAAAGCGGACGCGCACATCGAACCCGCGGCGGTGCGCCGCCTGCCTCGTCGGCGGCGGAGGAACACAGAGTTGGTGGGGGGGTTGGGGGGGAAGTGGGCAGGGGTGGGGGCCTGCACGCGAACGAGGGGAGGAGGTAACGGGGGGAGAGGGGAGGGGGTAACGGGGGGGGAAGGGGGCGGGGCGATCGGGTTAAAGGGGGCGGGGCCGATGCGCGTGTTCCTCCGCGCGGCGCGGGCCCCTTCTCCGCCTCCGTCCGCGCGCGTCTCCCTCCGCTGACCCCGCGGACCTCGCTCCTCCCGCCGCCGCTCCCGAGGCCGCGTCTCTCCTCCACCCCCTCGCCAGCTCGCACCCGCCGGGTCCCCTTGGACCCCCCCCCCGCAGGGTCCTGTCGGCTCCCCTAAGAGAAGGGAAGAGGAGGAGGAGAGGGGGGGTTCCTCTACCCGAGGTTCCCCTAGCGGTCCCCTCTCTCTCTCTCTCGCCACCCCTCCCTCGCGCGCTCTCGTAGCCCGGCTCTGTGTGAGCGAGACGCTCGGCCGTTGTGTGGCCGCCGTACACGAGGAGAGAGGAGCGGCAGCGGCAGCAGGAGGTGGTGGTGGACGTGGAGGGAGAGAGGACGAGGCGGAGGTGAAGAAGATCAAAGAGGCCGGTGTTTGACGAGGATATCGCGAGACGACGAGGAGGAGGAGGAGGAAGGAGGTTGGTGGTGACGGTGACGGAGGAGGAGAAAGGGGAGAGAGGAGGAGGAGCGCAAGGCAAGAGGCGGAGGAGTAGAGAAGACGAGGTGCTGGGGAGAGGAAGGCGACGAGGACGGAGAGGAGGAGGAGGAGGAGCGTCATTCCGGCCGGAGTTTTGACGAGAAAATGGAGGCGGCCGAGGGAGGAGGAGGAGAACGAGCGGCAGCAGCAGCAGCAGGAGGAGCAGGAGGAGGAGCCGCCGCCGCCGCCACTGCCGGGCGGGCCGCACGCTCCCCGCGCCGCTGAATGGAGCCCGCGTCCACAAAGCGGCCTTAGCAAGGGCACGGGGTCCCCGCCACGCACTCCCTCCCGTCGTCGTCGTCAGCAGTATCAGCAGCAGCAGATTGAGCAGGATCGGCGGCTTCAGCGTCGTCTTCACCAGAATCATCAGCAGCGGGGGCACAGAGCCGCTGTGCTGCTGGTGACAGTGTAAGGCGTTTGTTTATATCTTGGCGTTATTCTTGTTGTTGTTATTTGTCGGTTTTGTTTTGAGGATTGCGAATCTTGCCTCTGGATCCGAGCTGGATTTGTTTTAATGTTCACTGCAAGTACTCTCATCATCATTAACATCATCATCGACATCATCACTCTCGCTAACAAAGAGGTAGATAGATAGGGGGGAAGGCCGTGGCATGGTGAGGACGACGACGATGATGGTGGTGATGGTGCTCATGATGAAGATGATGGCGTGGAGGAGCCGCGGTCGGTCCCACAGCTGAGCATCGGCGTCAGCAGTTGGAACCTTCGCACCCTCCGTTTGGGGGGCACTTTGTATCAGTCTGCCCCCCCCGCCCCCCACAAAGCTCCCACGAGGACCTTTACCTTCAACCTACGCGCGTCGTCGCCACCACCACGAACCACCACCAACCCCCCGTTCAACTCCTTCCATTTTGCAACAACCGCGGCCAGTCGTCACATCTGGCCAAGGCCACGCGGATTGTGACCCGAGGGCCCCGCGACCACCAACCGACCATGGACGGCCACAGGGCCAACGGGCCCCGTCGCAGCCGTCGGACTCGCTCCCAGAGGGACAAGCAGAGGGAGGCGGCCGGACGCGCCGGTCGGCCGGGGCTGATCACCACCACCGGCGGCGGCCTGCAGGCCCTGGGCCGGCCCGGCGGCGTGGTGGCCGGCCTCGTGGCCGGAGGCTTGGGCCGTCACCGCGCTCCCAGCTCGGGCTCGGAGAGGGAGAACGCGGAGAACCGGCCGGGCTCGTCGAGGCCGCGGCCGCCGCGGCGCCGCCGCAGGGACTCGGTGAGCTCCCAGGACGAGGATATAATCGACGGGTTCGCCATCGCCAGCTTCACCACCCTGCAGGCACTCGAGGTGAGGACCACCGCGCGCCGCGTCTGTCCGTCCGGGTGACCCAAGGAGGGCCTCGTCTTGTCTGTCTGTCCGTCTCGATGGATGGGACTTGGTTTGTTGTTCACGTGACCGATGGGACGGCCCGTCTCTCTGGATGGGAAAATGTCTGTCCTGGTGGCCCAGGCTCTGTCTATCTGGATGGATGGGACGAGGTTTAGTGCCCACGTGACCCAGAGTCCGTCTCTCTGGATGGGACGGGGTCTGTCCTGGTGACCCAGGGTCCGTCTCTCTGTCTATCTGGATGGATGGGACAAGGTTTAGTGCCCACGTGACCCAGAGTCCGTCTCTCTGGATGGGACGGGGTCTGTCCTGGTGACCCAGGGTCCGTCTCTCTGTCTATCTGGATGGATGGGACAAGGTTTATTGCCCAGGTGACCCAGAGTCCGTCTCTCTGGATGGGACGGGGTCTGTCCACGTCACCATCTGTCTGTGTGGGTCAATGTCCCTTCACACGCTGGCAGGCTGGACCTTCATCCTGTCCCTCTGTTCTATTTCATGACTTGTTGGCTGTCTGTAGTTTTACCTTCACCCCTCCATCTCACGAGCCTGTGTCCTTCGATCCACTTTTTTATTTTGTCTGGCTGACTTTCTAGCTGTCTATCGATGTGTTGTTACCTTCTTATCCATTGTCTCTTGTGTGGCTGGCTCTGTGTCTCTGTCACATTGGCCGTCTTGTCTGTCCGGGTGGCTGTTGGCTCAATGTCCTTTTCCACTGGTTGGTTGCTTTATCTGTCTGTACCTCTTCGATCTGTCTGACGAGCTTTGTCCGTCTGTTCCGCTATTCCAATGGTCTGGTTTACTTGACAGCTGTCTATCTGTTCCTCCAATGTGTCTGCCTCCCTCTCCTCTGGGTGTATATTCATATCACTTGCCACCTGTCCGTCTAGATGGTTGATTTGCAGGCTCTGTGCATTTAAATGTCTACCTGTCTCCCCGATTTTCCTTCTGTCAGTCCTCCTGGCTCTCATGTCTGTTCATCTGTCAGACCCTCTGTCTGTTTTGTCGGATGTCTATCTGTACGTATGCCATTCCTATCTGTCTAAATGTTGATCTATTAATCTGTCGCTATTTCTGTGTTTGTACCTCTGTCCCGTTGTCCCTCTGTGGTTCGGTCTTGCACCCTGGCCATCTTTGTCTTCCTCTCCCTCTGGCTGTCTTGTCAGTCCATCTGTGTGTCTACCCATTGTCAGTGCTATATGTCCTGTCTGTCCCCTGTCTATGCGAGACTGCCCCTCTCTTCCCGTGTCTACGTCTGTCTCTCTGCTCCTCTTCGTCCCTCTGTGTCTGTGCATCTTTGTTCGTGTGTCTGTCAGCAACTGTCTCTGACTGTCCGTGTCTGTGTCCTCCTGTCCTCTGTTTTACGTCCATGTGTGTACCATGCGTCTGTGCCACACTGCCCTCTTGCTATCATCTCCACGTCTGTCTATGTACCCGCCTATCTTTTCATGCGTCTCGCCTCCTATGTGTCCCTCGGACTGGCTGTCTCTCTGTCCCTCTGACCGACTGTGTGTCTTGTCGTCTGTAATTAGTCCTCACTGTCGCTCTTTCTCGGTTCGCTTGTCTCTTATGGCCTCTGTCTACGTCAGCCCCCTCTGTCCATGTCTATCTGACTGTTATTGTATCTGTGTTTGACAGTGCACCGTCTGTCTCGGTCTGCGAGTTTGTAGTCACGTGTCATGCTGTCCCCTTCTGTGTCTGTCTGTCTGTCTGGGTGTCTGCTCCTCTGTCTATTCCTCTGTGGGCCCTCTGTCTAACTGGGTCTCTGCCCGTTGATCCCTCTGCCACTTGGCTGTCTGTCAGGCCTCCTATCTGTTGCCGTGTCTGTTCGTCTGCTCCCTTGTCCCTCTCTCTGTCTACGTCTGACTGTTTGTCTGCTCTGTCTGTCCCGCTGTGTGCTCGAGTTGAACCCAGAGATGCCTGCCGTGGAAGTGTCTGTGTGTGTGTAGACCCTCTCTGCCTGTGGCCGTGTCTTTTTCCCGTCTTGGTGTCTCTCTGATTTCTGTCCTTGTATGTCTCTGCCTGTGGACTCTGTCCCCCATGCTCTGTGTCCCTGTGTGTCTCTCTCCCGTTCTTTTGGTGCCTGTGTTTTTTTTCCTGGCCCCTCTGAAATGTCCGTGTCTCCGTGCGTCTCCCGCTCTGTCCCTGTCTGTCTGTCTGTGTCTCTCTCCTCTCTCTTGCCCCCGTCTTGTCTCCACGTGGCTCTCCGTTCCTGCTGCCCAGCCACACGCTTCTCTCATAACCCCGTGGGCCTGTCATTGTCGATCTGCGATCTTGGACAACGTGTTACCGTGCGCGTTGGGCCATTGTGTACCCGCGTGATTATAATAGTGCGTCGCGAACCCAATAGGGTTCACACCCTGTGTGTGTGTCACGTTCGACTCCGAAGTTCCGACGGAAAAAGCTGTGTCTTCACACACAGTGTGGTGTGTGTGTGCTTTGTTGGCTTTCATAGGCGCTCGCTAACAGCACTTGCCCCAAAAGTGGGTTGAGGCTATACGCGGGGGGAGGGGGGGTCTTTGTCTGCCTTTGTCGGCTTTAATAGGCGCTCGCTAAGAGCGTTTGCCCCAAGCCTATTACAGGCTGCAACACAGGGGATCTGTGTGTTTGGGGTGCGTGTGTTGTACGTGTGTATGTGTGCGTTGTACGTGCATCTGTGCGCGTGTGTTGTGCGTGTGTATCTGTGCGCGTGTGTTGTGCGTGTGTATCTGTGCGCGTGTGTTGCGTGTGTGTGGTACGTGTATCTGTGCGTGTGTACGTGTATCTGTGCGTGTGTGGTGTGTGTGTTGTACGTGTATCTGTGCGTGGTGGTGCGTGTATCGATGCGTGTATCGGTGCGTGTGTGGTGTGTGTGTGTATCGGTGCGTGTGTGGTGTGTGTGTATCTGTGCGTGTATCGGTGCGTGTGTGTGTATCTGTGCGTGTATCGACATGTGCGTGTGTGGTGTGTGTGTATCTGTGCGTGTATCGACATGTGCGTGTGTGGTGTGTGTGTGGTGTGCGTGTATCGGTGCGTGTGTGGTGTGTGTATCTGTGCGTGTATCGGTGCATGTGTGTGTATCTGCGTGTATCGGTGCGTGTGTGGTGTGTGTGTGGTGTGCGTGTATCGGGGCGCGTGTGGTGTGTATGTATCTGTGCGTGTATCGGTGCATGTGTATGTATCGGTGTGTGTGTGCGTGTATCGGTGCGTGTGTGGTGTGTGTGTATCTGTGAGTGTATCGGTGCGTGTGTGGTGTGTGTATCTGTGCGTGTGTGGTGTGTATCTGTGTGTATCGGTGCGTGTGTGGCGTGTGTATCGGTGCGTGTGTGGTGTGTGTATCGGTGCGTGTGTGGTGTGTGTGTATTGGTGTGTGTGTATTGGTGCGTGTGTGGTGTGTGTGTATTGGTGCGTGTGTGGTGTGTGTGTGTATCGGTGCGTGTGTGGTGTGTGTGTATCGGTGCGTGTGTGGTGTGTGTGTATCGGTGCGTGTGTGGTGTGTGTGTATCGGTGCGTGTGTGGTGTGTGTGTGTATCGGTGCGTGTGTGGTGTGTGTGTGTATCTGTGCGTGTGTGTGTGTATCTGTGCGTGTGTGTGTGTATCTGTGCGTGTGTGGTGTGTGTGTATCTGTGCGTGTGTGGTGTGTGTGTATCTGTGCGTGTGTGTGTGTATTTGTGCGTGTGTGGTGTGTGTTTGTGTATCTGTGCGTGTGAGGTGTGTGTGTATTGGTGCGTGTGTGGTGTGTGTGTATATGTGCGTGTGTGGTGTGTGTGTATCTGTGCGTGTATCGGTGCGTGTGTGGTGTGTGTGTATCGGTGCGTGTGTGTTGTGCGTGTATCGGTCCGTGTGTGTTGTGCGTGTATTGGTGTGTGTGTGTGTTGTGCGTGTATCTGCGCGTGTGTGTGTTGTGCGTGTATCTGCGCGTGTGTGTGCGTGTATCTGCGCGTGTGTGTGCGTGTATCTGCGCGTGTGTGTGCGTGTATCTGCGCGTGTGTGTGCGTGTATCTGCGCGTGTGTGTGCGTGTATCTGCGCGTGTGTGTGCGTGTATCTGCGCGTGTGTGTGCGTGTATCTGCGCGTGTGTGTGCGTGTATCTGCGCGTGTGTGGTGTGCATCTGCGCGTGTGTGGTGTGCATCTGCGCGTGTGTGGTGTGTATCTGCGCGTGTGTGGTGTGTATCTGCGCGTGTGTGGTGTGTATCTGCGCGTGTGTGGTGTGTATCTGCGCGTGTGTGGTGTGTATCTGCGCGTGTGTGGTGTGTATCTGCGCGTGTGTGGTGTGTGTGTTGTACGTGTATCTGTGCGTGTGTGTTTGTTGTACGTGTATCTGTGCGTGTGTGTTGTGCGTGTGTGTTTGTTGTACGTGTATCTGTGCGTGTGTGTTGTGCCTGTGTGTGTGTGTGGTACTTGTCTCTGTGCGTGTGTGTTGTACGTGTATCTGTGCGTGTGTGTTGTACGTGTGCCTGTGTGTGTGTGTTGTACGTGTGCCTGTGTGTGTGTGTTGTACGTGTGCCTGTGTGTGTGTTGTACGTGTGCCTGTGTGTGTGTGTTGTACGTGTGCCTGTGCGTGTGTGTTGTACGTGTATCTGTGCGTGTGTGTTGTACGTGTATCTGTGCGTGTGTGTTGTACGTGTATCTGTGCGTGTGTGTTGTGCCTGTGTGTGTGTGTGCGTTGTACGTGTATCTGTGCGTGTGTGTTGTGCCTGTGTGTTACACGTACGTGTGCACATGGCCTGGCACAAGCGTCGTGGTGACGTCACCGCCACTTAGTGGCGAATGGCGATTGTTGTTGTTGTACGTGTATATGTGCGTTTGTGGTGTGTGTGGTGTGTGTGTGTTGTGCGTGTGGTGTGTGTGTGTTGGGGAGCGGTAGTGTAGCGGTTAGCGCGCTGCGACCCGGGTTCAGTTCCCGCTCACGGCCAACACCGGTGACGATTATCTGAACCGGTCATGGGCCTCTTCCTCTAGGTCGACTCAGCCTCAAATGTGTA